GGCGGCCCCCGCCCCCCCCCCCCCCCCCCATATCCTCCCCCCCCCTTTCGGTCGGCGCCGCCCCCTTTCTGGCCTTTTCCACAACGATTTTCCCCCCCCCCAAATAACTCTTATTCTCCCCCCCATACACCCCGCCCCCCACGGTAGGCACTTCACCCTTCCCTGCACGCATGCACGTGGGTGTTGGAGTAACTCACCATCTCGCGGTTGCAGTAATTTCCTGGCCGTTGGAGCATTGAGGGCAGTCGTCCTTTCGGCAGCTCCGTGCCTGGGCGCCGACACCGACACGGTCGCCGACCTTGATGTTCTTGACGTTCTGGCCTACGCGGACGGCTTTGCCGACGATTTCGTGGCCAACGCAGCACGCTGTGTTCCGGGTCAGAAAGAACAAGTACGTCTTGGGCCAAGCGTCGAGAGAATTTCCCAAGTAGATGGGCCTCTTGCCGGCGGGCTATTATCAAACTCACGGTAGGGAGTGGGGAACCAGCCAGACTTCAGAGTGTGCAAGTCAGAACCGCAGATGCCGCAGTGGGAGACTTGAATGTCAACGTCTTCCTCAGTCCACTTCTTGGGCTCGAATTCGCCCCAGACCATCTTGCCTTCGGCGCTTGAAGCGTCGTGGCCCAGCCATCCCTCAAACTTGTAGTCGTTCATGATGGCTGTAGTGTCGTGGAGTCCAGGGGGTAAATCGATGTCGACTTCGAGGATAGAGAGTCAATTGTGCAGATGGTGGTCTCAGAATAGCCACTTCCTGGTGGCTAGTACCCCGAGCCTATATACTTTTTCTTGACTACCCATGCCCGGTATGTTTCATCGCCGGCCGGTCCCCGGTTTTGCTGCCATGGACGCTACCTGCTCATCTACGTTTGTGACGCGGCCCGGTGATAGGCATGGCCAGGCTGGACCCGAGCGAATTATTTCGGGCTGATGTCATGGAAGCCGTTCAGCAGCTACTGCAGCCAAACCAGCACCACGACTCCACTGGACGGGCCTGACGCCTACGGCGCGAGTCAAGGCCAGATCGCCCTGGCGGACTTTAGATCAGTTTACCCGTAGCGATAAGGCGAGGACCAGGGAGGTAGACGGGTGACAGCTCCGTGACACGATGTCAACTGCTTCACGGGCATGAAATACTGACGACGCTAATGCACCAGGCTTACAGCGTGGAGAGGTTTCGAGTATTCATTGTCCAATCACGGAGGGACTGAGTCGGGGCTGGGGTGGTGTGTGATGGTTCAACAAAAACACTACAACGGAGACCTGTAAATGCGGCAAACGGTTGATGCCCTACCAAACATGCTGCTTGATAATCGGAGACTTTCTTTGAGAAGAAGACGGCGCAAAGTCCATCCGCAAAGCTGAGTTGCTTGTTAATATACCCTCGGAATCTTTTTGCCGTGGTTTGTCAATGCTTGTGCTGGCTGCTAACATTACTCCGAGCCCACATGCTTCCCGCTGTGAGAGCACGGGTGAAAGACTGCTACCAACCTCGACAAAGTCCGCAAGTCCGCACAGGATAGGCTACTTCCCGACTGACCTGGTCGCTGCATTATGAAGGGCCTCCCCGTCTTTTTTGCAACAAAGAAAAGCCATTGTTCCTTGCTCCCTTGACCTACAGATCATTCGTGCACACAAGCCATGTTGGTCGATTTAGCTTACGAGTAACACACCCCAACAGCCCTCAATTAGATTTGACATTCGAGGTGAGCTAAAGGACGAGACGTCTCCCCCAAAACGGACTTCCCTCGCAGCATGCCATTGACTGATATCAGGCAAAAATAGTCTCAATAACGCACTTTATCAAGTTTCGACTCGCGTTTAAACAATGGTCATCGTGTGTGTGTGTGGGTGTGCAGGGTCTAGGATGGTGACAGTACTTCGTTCGAATAGCACCCCCGGAGTCGCCTCCTGATCGAATCAGCGGAAGATTAACAATTGGATCAAGATGCTGGCGAACGCTCGAATCCAGTCAACGTCGTATTGACACTGTATATTATGGCCGTTCCTTACATCGAGTTCCCCGCAACTGAGCCCGAACGGATGACGATTCACCCCAAGTCGAACCGCAAATGCCCCCTCTGGCGATAATATTGACGACCCCACGCTCGCCACTGCATCCTGTACGCCAAACACCAAGTCCCCACTCCCTGCGAGTTGGAGAGCCGACTCCTGGGAGGGGCTACTGGAGATAAACTCTTAACTCCAGGGTGGTAGAAGGGCCAATTGCGATCACCAGCCCAGTGAATCGAGCGTTTGCGCTACGCTTGTTAACCCCGAGAGTATGTAGATGGAGTCAATTGTGGATGATAGTTGTAATCTCGAAGCCAGCGCTCGCGAATAAGTAACAGGTCACTCACCAGCTTTCGAGAGAGTTTTGAAAATAACAACAAAATAAACCTGCTAGATCTTTGCTCAAAATGGTCCACACACTTCCCTTCGCCGACATCCAAGTCACGTCGCCAGGCTTTGGCGCCATGGGCATCAGCTTTGGCCTTGGCAGCAACCTGACGCTCGAACAGGCTGAGCCTGTTCTCCTTAAGGCGATTGAACTTGGCTGCACATTCTGGGATACAGCAGTAAGTGAATCGCATCCACCAGTCCGACATTTAAGCAGTAAATCTGACGATGCGCGTAGGTGGTTTATCAGGCTGGTGTCAACGAAAGGCTTCTGGGAGATTTCATCAGGAAGCACAACGCTCGCGACAAAGTCTTTTGTAAGTGATTGCCATTGAGAACACTGTCTTTTTGGAAGCTTGCCCCTGACCAGTATACGTGATAGTGGCATCCAAGTGTGGGATCGCTGCCTTTGGCGATATGGGTGTAACCAACTCCGCCTCTCACATTAATGAGTACATTGAAGGCACTATCGACCGGCTTGGTTTCACACCTGACCTTTACTATCTACACCGTATTGATCCAAGTGCGTCCGGTCCTCGCAACGTCTGTCTTCACGACTAATAGGGTTGGCAGACACTCCGCTCGAGGAGTCCATCCCAGCGTTGGACAACCTTCGCAAGCAGGGCAAAACCAAGTATATTGGCCTATCAGAATGCTCAGCAGCGACACTGCGCAAGGCCAACTCCAGTAAGCAATGTCTGGCTTACCAAGACGGTTCCCCTACTAACGCCGCGACAGTCGCCAAGATCGATGCTCTCCAAGCTGAATACTCCGCCTTCGAAACTCTCCATGAAACGGACGGCTTGATCGACGCAGCAAAGGAATTGGGCATCGCCTACGTGGCATATAGCCCTCTCGGTCACGGTTGGCTTGTCGATGGCTTCCCCTACAAGACCCCTGACGATTTTGCCCCCGATGACTTCCGTCGCACTGGTACGTCTCCGATAAGTCCTGTTCATCTCTCCATAGTTCGACACGTGCTGAAACCAAGGTCGCAGTTCCCAAGTTCCAAGGTGAGAACTTCTACAAGAATAAGGCGATTGTCACCGAAATCAAGAAGCTGGCAACGCGCAAGGGCTGTTCCCTAACGCAGATCGCTCTGGCATGGGTGGCAGCCCAAGGCATGATTGCCATTCCTGGCACAACCAAGTCTACGCGACTGGAGGAGAACTTTGCGTCACGAGATGTGGAATTGTCGGAAGATGAAAGGAAGGAACTCCGGCGTATAATTGACTCGGCCAAACCAGTCGGCAACAGGTATAATGAGGCTCAGCAGGCTCTTGTGGGTCATTAAAGTCGACCAGACAGAGCAGTGACGTCTAAGCAACGCAGGGATCAAAAGAATGTCCATTCAGCCTCATGTTGTGGCTCTCTCATTACCCAGAAGATGACTGGAATTTACGGTTTGACATGCTCGCGATCAATTCGAGTTGCGGGGTTTCAGAGAGAAAGAAACACGAGGGGAAGAAGAGTGAGAGCCTTGGCTTCCTTCGAAAGAGAAAGTAAAAGGACTTGGTTCATGAAGTAGTGTCTTGAGCCTAAGGGAGCCCCTTTCTTCACAAGCTGCAGACGACAGCATTCATTCTGGTGTATTTTCATCATCGAATTTCAAAATGTATGACAAAGGGGGCAAATGACTAGTACGAAGCCCACACTCGAATACGTTTTCGCAAGATTCAACCTAGAGAAGCGTATTTCGGCTCGTGGTGGTTCCAAACTCAGGTCGGCAGCGATGTCCTGACCTTGACTAGAGGCTTCTTGAACTCGCTGAGAGCAGTGCCCATACCCATCGAGTTTGCCAGAGTGCCCCTACAGGGGGTGATACCTGCTAGCCGGTACTGTTGCTCACCTGGAAGATCCCTTAGAAGGTATGATCCTTGCAATGGATAGCAGAAACCTTCTGTCAGTCCGGCTTCGTGCGGTCAAACGTGACATGGCCTATGAAGTATCAAGGTGAGCTTCAAGGGCACATTCGGCTTGCAGTCTAATGAATGCATCCGACCGAGCCACCCACGCTGCCTTCGGAGATCACTGCATCGAATGTAAGGCAAACGAACGTCCGTGGGGTCGAAGGGGTGACCTGCGCACTCGGAATGCAAAGTCTCGCCGACACGGCTTCAGCATCAGGATAAGAGGCAATCGCCTAAACCACCGGAGGACCGTCAGCCGCGACGATACCATACGCATGTAAACCCTCGACTTCCGCACTTTGCACCACATGAGCTCGGAACTGCTGAGCAGGATGAAGCGAGAGAGGCATCCGCGAGATGACTTCGGGGTAGTCGCGATGCCAATGAGAAACAGCGCGTGACGGTACCGTCACTTCCCTTACGTCGATAACAAAATGCTGCGGAGGTTCGCGGTCGCGAAGCGGGCTGTAAGTTCTAATGTGGGATACGTCATGACACCGTCCCATCCTCGTGGAGGCACATCTTCGCAGGCGGGAGGACGAGGAGTTCGACGATGATGAGGGTGACCGGGGATTGAGTGGCAATATGTTTCGTCCATGGGTTGAACATAATATAAGTCCCCTCTTGCGCTGAACTACCTTATGCATCGGCCCCCGACTTGTTCTCCAATTCCGTGCCAAGAGACGGACTTGGTCCAGCAATATCGGCGCAGGCCCTCGTTTCCATCAATCCCGTTCCGAGGCAGACTTAGTATACCACACGCGCAGTGCTGGTCGCGGAGTGGGTCACCAAATTCCGCTGTGAACTCCGTTAAACTTTACCTCGAATCGGTCGGTGAAACGCTAACTCGCAGTCAGGAAATACTGTCAGCACAATACGAAACCTTCCGAGCCAGTCATGACCCTTCATGCTCCATGATTTCTCATCAGTCCCGACGCCATGGTCTCGTTTTCCGTCCCTGCATCACAGCGCGCGAAGACCAATAAATAACATCCCCCCCAGATGATAGAGTTTGAGTTTTGCAGACGCAGTCACATTTCGTAAAGTCAAAGTATCTTGCACAACACGGCGATTCAGAATGGTTGCAACCGATCCCAAGACCCCAGGGCCGTTTATTCCCCTCGCCAGCCTGGCCCAAGATGGCTGGTCCAACGACGACGAGGCAACCGCAACGTGCCTCTGCGGTACCGTGCAGTTTGCCTTTGTAAGTCCACCGAAGCTTGCGAGGGTTTTCTCACGAATTTGATTAGAACATCAACGAATATTGGCTCTAATACCGACTCGCCTGTAGTCCACCCAGGAGAAGCATATCCTGAACCGATTTGTCTGCCACTGCGCCGACTGTCGCAAATTGAGCTCCTCCATGTTCTGCTCGGCATTCTCTGTGCCCGAAGAGGCTGTGCGATTCCTGCGCGGCAAGGAGAATGTCAAGGTTTTCCAACACCATCAAACCACTGCGTCAGGCAAAGCGATGTCGAATTACTTCTGTGCTACCTGCGGCAACCTGATGTATCGCACGAGCGCGATGCAAGAGGGATTCTACATAATCAGGCTTGGCGTCGTCGATGATTTCCGTCTTGCAGAAACAAAACTGCGTCCCAACATGGAGGTCTACATTGGCACCAAGGTGGATTGGGTGCCACAGCTTGAGAACATGGCGCAGATTGGAGATGTGATGGCTTTGGCAAAGGAATAGGCAGCTTCCGGAGTACTAAAATCATAGGACGCATTTCGATAAATCTTCTGGACGGTTTTGCCGTTGCGCTCGAAGTGCACACGGACGAGCTCACATTTGCCGGGATGACTTGCGTTTTCCTGCTCGTTACATCACTTGAGGCATCTTCAGGGCAAGGAATTTTTAGGTTGGTGTTCAACTGCGCCACCTGGAAGTTCCGAATTTGGTCAACTACCTAGGTATGCTCCGAGCGCTGCTTCTTCCAGCCTTGAGCTAGCTGGCCCAGCATCTTCAAGAACAGCAATTCCCTTGTTCCGTGCCAACATTCTGGTGGCTTCTCTTTTTGCGTTGAGACTACGCGTCTAAGGCATGCCAGCTTCATGATGCTGGCTCTCAACATCAGCGGCCCGCCCAGAGACACCGGCCTCTTCATAATCATCAAGGTGCTCTAAACGCTTTCCTCGAATCCATTCTTGTTGTCTACCGGGGCTTACGCAGCAAGGGCGTCGAGATTATTGACCTCCCTAGCAGCACGCTTGGACTCACACTGGCAAATGCAATTGTCCATGCATACCTTGGACGGTCCCTCGCAGTGAACATAACCCCTGCTATCACATCTGCAAAAGGTGGGAGACTGCAGGCAGCGGATGATATGAGCAAACAGGTTGCAGTAGATTGAACAGTTGGAATCTTTGTCTTCGACATCGAGAGCGGCCGAGGCGCCGTTATTGGTGTTGGAGGAGAGCTCGCCGGCGGCGGGCTTCAGGTCGATGATGTCGGGGGATGCGACAGGTTCAGCGGTCTCAGTTTCGGCAGAGCGAATAGAAAAGGCATTAGGGTTGTCGTGATGAGCTTGGGTTAGAGCGTTGTCGGTGGCACCAGTTCCGGACAGAGGAGAAGCGAGTGCACTCATGGCGCCTAGAAGGAACGCCAGTGCCGTGATGTCTGGGATTGTGATGAGCAACTTGGTGACTATGAGGAAATAAAGATAGTGATAGACCTACTTGAGAAGTTCATAGTGTTATCTCTTGAAGTTCTTTTGGAATGAACTTGGCAAGTAGGAAGACGTTGAGCGTTAAGAAGGTGTGGAGGTCAAAGTAGCTCAGTGTGCAAGTTGGTGTGGAAGTAAGAGTCATACAGCAGACATCTTTGAACAAAATAGGTTTTGTATCGATTGTTTATATAGAAGTTCTCTCAAAGCTTACAATCAGTGAATGAGTGATTCTGCATAATTCACTGGTGAAGTGAATGTAAGAATGTTGTTATTCACTGGGTTTCCTACCTACCTACCCGAGTGCCTTACTTACCTTGGTTGGTGAAACTCCATTCTAGAGAATATGCCATGATTTTCTACTTGACTCCACCAAAAACACATGCAGATAGATATATGAGGGTTGAAGGAGGTGGGATGTTCGTTCAGATACTCGACAGCAAGGTCTGGTGCCTACCGAACTACACCGAGCCTACCCCGTGTAGTGACCCGTGCACACCGGTCAGTGAAGGAGCTGACGTCATGTTTCAAGGCGTGCCTCAACAGCTCAACCCCTCCCCCACCTTCGTTCCAGATTGCTCCAAACCACATGCCACGGTCCGGAGCTTTGAAACCGCCCCAACCGATGATGAGCATACCCATCATGGACTGGACCTGACTCTCTCCAACGCTCTCAACGCTAGCCTCACTGGGCCTCATATTCTGTCTACTATAGAAACCTCAGTACGCTCGACATCCTACCGCTTCTTCCTCCAGTCCACACTCCATTCTTCACCGAAGCCATGTCTTCCCCCTCACCGGCCTTGACGGCCAAGCAAACAGCGGCTCTCTTTAACATCCTCACGCACCACGAAACATATGACGAAATCGAAGCTCTCAAACAACCCGATACCATCTTCAGCTATGGCTACCCCTTCACCTCCGAGGCGCCAGTCGCCACCAGCAGCCCAAAAGGCAGCTCAAGGAACAGCTCGAGGAGCAATTCCAAGATGAGCGCCAAGAGCACGAGCACGAGTCCCAGCGGCAGCATGAAGAGCGCCAAGAGCGCCAAGACATCCACTGATTCCATCGCCGCCTCGCCCGTCCTCCAAACCCTCCTTCGCCGCTTCCTCCTCACGCTGCCCGGCCTGCGCGATCTTCCCGAGGATTTCTGGAGCGTCCGCGTCCAGGGTCTCCTGACGCGCTTGGCGGCTGCTGACCTGTCTGAGAGCTACGACAAGGGCGCCATGGGAACGAGGAAGACCCTGGCCACGGCCTTTTCGGCCATGGTTGAGTCGCTTGTCAGGGGATGCCTCGGCGGTTGTCCGCCCAGCAGAGGCGCCGGCGATAAGAAGGAGAGGTACGATCTCAAGGATGCGAAGGAGCTTGAGAGGGCATTCAACGATGTGCTGTACGGCGTGGTGTATGGTGACTTGATCGATGACATCACCGTCCATGTTGAGAAGTCGGCCGACCTCGAGGCGCATTCACCGAGAATCGCCGCGGCGGTGGAGTATGTCATCTTACAGTGAGTCGCTCGTCTTGCATGGATTGGCAGGGCTTTCTAATGCGACCCAGCTTGGCGACACTGTTCCATCAAGTCTTCATCTTGTCGCCCGAGGGCGAGTACCTGCGAAAGCTCATTGAGAGCGTCCACGGCATGCTTCCGTATGCGGTTATCCGCCAAACATTACGCATGAGCAACGCCGCGACCATGATGTCCGGTATGCTGAAGCTGTTCCTGTCAAAGCTGAGTCTTGGAGGCTTCTCGAATTACATCGGCCTCACGAAGAACGCCAATGACGGGATGAATCTACTGCAACGGTACGTGCGATGCCCTGCGCTTTCGGGTTTGACGCTCATGTTCCTAGTATCATATCCGTCGTCACTGGCTGGGACAGCGCAGAATTCAAGAAAACGCTGGACAAGATCGAAAAGAGTGAACATGCCCCCAACAGTGACGTCCTCGCAGCCCTCAAAGCCCACGCCAAAGCCTCAGCCTCGGTTCGCGCGAGCGCGAGAAACGAGTCCCAAAAGTCCTCCAAATCCATCATCACCATTATTCTCAACAGGTCCGACCCAGCTCTCGCGAAGAAGCTCTCAGCGGAGCAGCACGCCCAATGCCAAGAATACTACGCCGCGCTCCTGTCTATCCGCGACCGCGACGAGCTGACGACGGCCCTGTGCACGCAGTCGCCGGACCTCTTCACGCAGACGGTGCGCGACCTCGTCGGCGGCTTCGAACCCTACATCCGCGCCATCCACGACAAGATCGACCTGCGCGAGCACGTGCAGGACTACCAGAGCTTCGTCGACCAGTTCATCGCAACGAGCAAGCCTCAACCGACGGGCAGCGCGGGCGCCGAGACGCGCCTTCCGTCGGTCGAGGACTACGTGGCGCTGCTGCGCAAGAACAGGCACATGCTCTACCGGTGGATGCACCACGGCGCGGCGCAGGCGCCCGAGGTGCGCAACGTGTTCAAGGCCTGGGCGAAGGAGGCGGTCGTGCACTTTCGCAAGCCGGGCGTCGAGGTTGCGGTGCCCGGCTCGTCGGCGCACGTCGAGGGCTCCATGGTCGAGAGCGTGGCGGACGCGTTCGCCGCGCTGTCGGATGAGGTGCGGGGCCCGCTGCTGCCCGTCATTGATGCGCACGCCAGCCACCTCGACGCGCTCGAGGCGCTGTCCGTGGGACGTATGCAGCAGATCATCGACGGCGGGTCGTCGACCATGGCGGGGCCGGGCATTTTTCTCGTGTCGTGGCAGGAGTTGCTCGACAGCACGCTCATCACGCCGGCGACGCCTGACGGGGCGGCGCGGCGGGGCAAGGACGTGCAGAACAAGACGGTGGAGGGCAAGCCGGGCGCTACGGATGATGCTGGCGAGACCAAGGCGGACAAGGAGACGAGGAGGGAGGGCGAAGAGGCGCGGAAGACGGTCTTGGGCTCGCTACCTGAGGGCCCTGACGTGAAGCCTGTTGTTGAGGTGATGGGCGCTGTCTTCCGCAAGCTCATCGCGGATGCCGAGGGAGGCGGCGACTCTGGCAGTGATATTTCGATAGACTAGACCTGTTGCATGACACGTCAATGGAGGGATCAGAGCTATGGCAGCAGGAGGAGAACGGGGCTGACGAACGAGGCATTGTTCTTTTTTTGTGACTTCCTGCCGGTTTGCTCTGCCGGTATGCTCAGCATGAGGCGTCGACTTGTTGCATCAGGGTTGCTAGACATACGTAGACTCAGAACAATTGGTTGCCGTGTGCGACGGAATTTTCTCGTCCACAGCACAGCGCAACTGGGCTTTCAGTATAGGTGCGATGCTTGACATGGTCTTTTCGCCATCTTTTCTCCGACTTCAGAATCGCTTAAATCGCCCAAACATCTCAGGAGTCCCTCTGCTTCACATGTTCCGTTTCAAACGGAAGGCTAGCCTCTTGCCTTATGACTCCATACATGGAAGACGAGTCAAGAGGCCGGCCCTCGGCTGCAGAGAACCAACTTGCCTCGTTCAGGTGATCCAGAGCAACCTCGGCAACATGTAGACGCGTCCCCGCCTTCTTGGCCACGTCAATGCCATGGCCAACATCCTTGAGTGCCAGGGTCAGGTCGGAATAGGGTCTCTGATCTCTTGCAGGCATGTATGCGCCGGTCGTTAATCGTTTCGACATGGAAAGGGCGAGTGGTCCGTATTGCTGCTCCATAAGTGACTCGAGAGCGTCTGCGCCGAGGCCCGTCTTTTCTGCAAAAACATGAGCTTCTGCAACGAGTTCCATCATGCCGGCGGTCATGAAGTTCCTGAGAATGTCAGCCGACATCAAGGCACGCATATGATACAAGTAACCAACCCTGCCGTCTTCAACATGCTCGACTGAGAGACATCATCTCCCAGGCGAATGATGGCCCGTCCCATAACACCGACGATAAAAGGGGCGATGGCTTGCACGGCAACCTCGGGCCCGGCGATGACCCAGAGGAGCTTGCCATCGGCAGCCACGGGGCTGGCACCGAAGACAGGAGCGGCGATGAACTGGGCACCTCGCTCCGCGAGACGGGACTGAACGGCGGCTGAAGTAGCGGGATGAACGGTGGAGGTGTCGACGATGATCTTGCCCGAAATTTCGCAGCCGGCATCTGCGATGAGTCGGTCAATGATATCTGTGAGAGCGTCATCGTTGCTGAGCGAAATAAAGACGATGTCTGATGATGTGATCAGTTGCGCTGCTGAGGCGGCGGGGATAGCGCCGAGGACCTCGATGGCTTGGCCCCGAGACTTGGTGCGGTTGAAGAAGTGCAGATGAGGTGCGCCGAGGTAGGTCAGATGCTTCTGCAGGTTCGTCGCCATTCCCAGGCCCATGGATCCGAGGCCTGCGAGGTTAGCTCGTACATTGATCGAATTCATATCTCGGATGTACCTATCCATCCGAGCCTTGGATGCGCATGCTGGGCTGATGATGCGTCCATTTCGGTGCAGACTGCTCCTCAACGATGAGATCAGACAGAGATGAATGTTGACCACAGTTCAGAAGAAGGTACACCGAAGTGGAAGTGAAGCCTTCCAGCATCCACGATGAAGTCGCACCCTCATGGGCTGACTCATCCTCAGGCTGACCATTTTGGCCTATGTCTACAGCCATCGGTGGTCAGAAGTTCACCCCGCAATGTGACGTCTCAATCAGGCAAGCGAGCCAAGTCCACGGCCGGAAATCAAGGCAGGCAGGTTTTGCCGCGCTTGCCAGGGACGAGCCTAGCCCGGGGCACAGCCTCGATCTGCGGGCCCCACATGCCACGGGAAGCAAGCGTTACCAGCTTGCCAGAGCCAAAAGATGAGCCAAGTCTGGTCTCTGTCCCATCGGATCCCGAGCTGGATCGACCCGACACGGTGCTTAGCAATGAGCAGAGCAAAGCAGAACAGCGGTGAGGGGAGGGTTTACGTCACGCACAACTCGCCCAAGGAGGGACACACAGACACAGGCTCACAGTCCAGTCGAAGGCCCCACGTGGGAAACCGAGAAGGAGGGGGTCCCTAACGTTGGCAGGTACAACCACAACCACAACGGCTGTGGCTTCCCTCAAATACCTCTAGCCGCCCCCGGCTCTTTCCCCCAGATCCCGCTCGCCTGTTCCTTCCCTTTTACCCCTTTCCCTCGATCCAGGCTCGCTTCGACTTCACCTTTGCCGTGGGCTTTGGCTGTACCTCAACTTTGGTTGTACATCAATTTGAACTACCAAGCCTCAAGTTCCGAGCTTCACGCTTCGAGGTTGTCGCTGTTTCTGGCATCAGTCGTTCGTCTTGGCGGCGACTGTCATCTTCATTCTAGCTGCACCTTAACCGACACGCCACCTTCGTCGACACCTTCGTCGACAATTGGCAGTTGCCACGCCTCTCATCATGGTGTCCTCCAACCCCGTCAAGTATGACTATCATCCAGATGCCGACGCCCAAGCAGCAGCCGCTGCGGCTGTCGGTCATCGCAGTTTCTCTGCACTTCCTGCTTCCCCCACAGTCACCGCGCTAAACACGACGTCCCCCTCTGACGCCGAGGGACGCTCCAACTACTCGGAGATCAACGACCCATACGGGCTCGGCGCCCAGATCAAGTCGGAATCGGACATTGGTCGCATCCCCCAGAACAGCGCCCGCAAGCGTATTCATACCTTCACGCGGCCTCATGCTGCGCGTCGGGAGCGTGAACTCCAAGATTTCTACCGCACCCAGAATGACAAGATCCGCACGCTTCTCAAGAGCGTCGACGATCACGAGCGCGAGGCGAAGGAGTCGCAAGGCGACACAAACCTTCGGTACCAGATCGCCGTCAAGGGCAGTCTCGCCGCCAACTGCGTGCTCGCCGGTCTGCAGCTCTACGCCGCCATCAGCTCCGGCTCCCTCTCGCTCTTCACCACCATGGCCGATTCCATCTTTGACCCTCTGTCTGGTCTCATGCTGATGCTGTCCCATCGCGCCGTCAAAAAGGTCGACCCCCTCAAGTACCCGTCCGGCCGAGCGCGCATCTCCACCGTCGGCAACATTGTCTTCAGCTTCGTCATGTTTTCTGTCTCGCTCGTCCTCATCGTCATGTCGGCTCGCGAGTTGGCTGAAGGCTCCGAGGAGGAGACTAACAAGTTCCATTTTCCCAGCGTCATTGCCGTCTCCATCGCCTTTGGCACCAAGCTCTTCCTCTTCTTCTACTGCTGGTCCATCAAACACCTGTATTCCCAAGTCGAGATTCTGTGGCGCGACCACCGGAACGACCTGCCCGTTAACGGCTTCGGCATCCTGACCTTCGCCGCCGGGAGCAACATCAAGTGGTGGATTGATCCCATGGGCGCCATCATTCTCTGCGTCATCATCGCGTCGCTCTGGCTGCGGACCGCCTACGAGGAGTTCCAGCTCCTTATTGGCGTCTCGGCCGAGCCGGAGTTTCTGCAGCTCATCACGTACATTGCCGCTACCCACTCTCCTGATATCAAGCAGATTGACACTGTTCGCGCCTACCACAGCGGACCGCGTTACATTGTCGAAATCGACGTTGTCATGGACCGCAACGAGCGCCTTGAGATTGCTCACGACGTCGCTGAGGACCTGCAGATTAAAATTGAGAAGCTCCCCGGCGTCGAGAGAGCCTACGTGCATATTGACTACGAGACCAGTCACAAGCCGGTATGTATCTGCGGGTCGCCGTGCAGCACTTGAAGCTAATACTTTGCAGGAACACGGCCTGAAGAAAGATCTTTAGTAGATGGTGAGAAGTTCTGGCCGTCAACGAAATTCTCAACCGCCGAGCGTACATGTCGCTTAAAAGATGACTGTTGCAAATGCTGAAGCGCGAAACCACTTTGAGTAGTTCAAGGGTTCTAGTGACGAGGGGACATAATCCACCGCGTTTCAATGAGCCTTATATTATGCGTTTTTCCGAGGCATCACGCCCGGTCCTCTGGCTTAACAGTGGGGGTTTCGTCTATACCTAATCTTCGTATGACATCTTCTGGCACCTGAAAAGCTCTCTCTTCAGGGATAAGGCCCATTTCGAGCAGCTCCGCATTGGAGACGCCCGGTTTTGTGTCCAGGAGTTCTTTCAGCTTCCTCGCCCTGTCGGTGACATCCTCGATCTCGACAACCCACTCATCGGCCCATTGCCGACTTAAGCCTCTCGGAATGCCAATCTGTATGCTCCTGTGTGGCAGTTTACCCAACCGCACCGTGCGCTCTGGATCCCACTGCACGCGCACTTCGCCCTCAGCAGTTGTGGCTTGCGACGCGAGGACTCCTCTTAGCAGAAGCGCTAGGAAGTCGGCATGGCGCATCTTGAGGGCAAGTATGCGCTCCTGGCCGGCATCTTTGAACGAATACCCAGCTCGATACAGCATCCAAGCCCAGCTTGGCTTGACCCACGTCATGCGGGTGGGTTTGAACGATGGGGCGGCCGTCAGCTTTTGTGCGGCCACGGCAGGCTCCGCAATGGCGGCACTGTACGCTTGATACAAGGTGATGGTGGTGTCGTCAAAATGCGCCCGAATCTGTCGTGGCAGAGTTGGCGAGCTGCGATCGAGAGCTGTCATTTTTCATGTGTGAGGAACTGACAAGAGTGGATCGGCGTTACTTCAGCCCTGGAAGATCATGGGGGCGCCGTTTTATTGATGTCCAGCGCACGGCACTGACGAGCAGTCGGTCGCAGAGCACAGGGTTCATTCAGCCACGGCCAATGACTCCTGCGGCCAAGGCTCACCGAGAGCGAGAGCTGAGCTGACGTCGTTGGACGCGACAGCCCAGTCCCCCTGGGATCCAACAATGCAACCCAGGTCCAAACTGAGTTCGGACATCAAACAGTCCGGTCATCCAGCAGTACCTACACCATGGTCGTAGCGGCTGAATCGGCAGACATGGGCCACAAAGGAACGGCCAGATGAGAAGGCGGCGCCTTTATTTATTTTTTTCGCCTGCCGCTGGACAAATCACCGACAGCGGCCCCCTGCGACACCAGATCCTGCTAGCCAAACCATGCCCAAAAAAGGAGATCTAAAAGCTCACGGCAATCTCGCGTTGAGCGAACCCCAATTCCCGGATTGGCTGTCGTCTGCCATCGACTGGGGTGTTTATGCACGAACCTGATTGCCAAGTCTCATTCGGCTGCCTTTTTGGCTCAGGACCTGGAAGTCGCCGCTCGGAGGTGAGGGTGTCGTTGCTTTAATACAAACGATGGACGCCCGCGACGGGTGCGACCGTGTCGACCTGGCTGTCTTGTTTGTCGACGGCTTCACTCTTTGGCGCGTGCGACTGCTTCCATCTCGGCAGCTGGGGTGACACGCTGCCACCCACGGGCTCAGTCACTCATTTCCTCTCAGCTCTGCACCTCTAGGCTTCCTCATGCCAATCGCCAACTGACGAGATTCCCGAACGCTTATTGACCCGATTACGACAAGAACGGGATACTTCTTGCCACCTACGCTCGTTAATGATAACCCTGACATTCCATCCTCCGACAGTCAGAGTTGACCCGCTGCTGCGTCCACACGACACGATGCGCAGCGCCAGAAATCTGACTCGCCTAGCTGCCGCGCTGTGGCTCGCGACGGCCCCATCAGTCTCCGCCCAGAGCCTGGGGTCGGTTCTGGCGGGACAGGCCAACCTCACAACATTTCGCAGGTTGGTGCAGGAGAACCAGGGTGTATACGCAGACTTGCCAAAGGACGGCGTCACTGTACGTTTGGTGTACCGCGCGCGCATGGCTGGGGGGCCAACGGCTAACAAGACAGATCATCGCGCCAAACGACGGCGCGTTCGTCAAGGGGCAGGGCTGGGACGCAGACGAGTCGAGCATCCCCGAGTGGCTTCAGTACGGCATTCTCTCAGGCCGCCACGCGCTCGAGAAGCTCGCACCGGGCGACACGCAGACCATCCCGACGCTCCTCACAGACAAACGATTCGCCAATGTGACAAATGGACAAAAGGTGCTCGTCACAGTGCAGCCCGGAGGCGAGGTGGTACTGACGTCGGGGGCGGGCACTCACGTCACAGTGGTCAAGGCGGACGTTCCATTTGACGGCGGGCTTGTGCAAATTATCGAGTCGCTCATGGTGACACCACGGCGGCTTGAAGGTTCGATTCGCGACTCGTATACAGACCTCACGGGCTTCCTTGGAGCGCTGTACCGGGCGGAACTCGTAGACGAGTTCGCCGAGACGGCCAACTCGACGATCCTGGCACCACACAACGCTGCATGGCAGCGATTCGGGGCTGGGTTCGAATCCCTGGGTCGCGAGGAGTTGCGCCGTGTATTGCGATACCACCTCGTGCCGGGGCGGGTGCTGCGGGCGGCGGACCTCGAGGACGGCGCGCGACTGGCGACGGGTGACGAGAAGGGAACGGGGGTTCGTGTGACACGTTTTATCAACGACATCTATGTCGACACGGGGCGCATCATCCAGACGGATCTGCTCATCGCCAACGGCATCATCCAGGTTGTCGATGCCGTCCTCAACGTCGACGAGGGCGGTGCAAAGCCCGACGTCACGGCCTCGGCGCAGGCTCCGGCGTTTACCTTTGCCGAGGAAGAGGCGAGCGGTACGGGCACGGCGGCCAATGTGCCCTTCACGTCGGCGCTGCCTTGCACTGCCGAGTGCACAACGTCAACGAGCAGGGGCCCACAGGCGACGGCGACCACGGAAGGCAACGGGGGGACGGCGAACGGGGGTGATGCCGATAGTGCGGCCGTCATGGCTAGGGAGTTCATCGGGGTTACAGGGCTTTTTGCAGGCATCCTCGGTGTCTTGTTTGCGTGATGAGCGATTGACCGCCAGATTGCAGGTGGCAGCATGCTCGAGGTGCAAGCGCAGAAGAAGGTCGAGATTTCAGGCTCTGACCCGGGAGTTGGAGATCAGACCATGGCAGATGGGTGGCAACCCTTACTTACTTTACTTACTATATGCGCACGCGACACTGGGTGTCTGTCGCTCGACCCATTCCACTAAATAGACCGACCACGTTATTCCCCAGCCGCCCGCGTGGGCGAGGCACATCAGCGACATGCATGGCAGCATCAACGTGCCATGTTCCAGCTTCACCCCCCGCCCTGACAGGGAAGCGCATGTGAAACCCCGCGGATCATGACCAGCCGACACGGCGGCTGCCACAGGGCTTTTCTGAAAAGCCATCATGAGCAAGACGGCAATGCACAGAGGCAAAGAGGGGACTGGGCAAAAATAGGTGCGAGGCCGCGGGGCCCGTGGAGTCCAGGGGTTCCCGCTCACCGACGACGTTTCATGATGGCTTCAGGTAGCAGGCCTGAGCTCGAGCTGCCCAACGTGCCTCAAAAGGTTGGCCTCTGCTCCACGCGCGAGGGCACCCGTGTGCTGTGCAAGACGTTGGAGGTTGGATTGACTGATCGGTCTATTGAATTCATGTTGGATCGGGATTGAGAGTGTCGTTGAGTCGTTTTCGCCTTTTCTTCTTTTGTTCTTTTCGCTCTTTCATCGATCTTCGGAATCCCCTCACTTTTTTCTTCTTCTTTATTTTTCTACCCTGACCCTGACCCCGACCCTGCTTCCGCCTGGGTGCGACGACGCGGAGCTGGCTCCAGAGGGTACACGCAATGGGGCGAGCGTTTCCGACTTTTTTTTCTGCATCTTTATCTTCTGCTTCATCTACTTCTAATGGTCTTTTCGGCATGGCAAGGTTACTGCTCATCTGGGCGACGCTGGCCATCAGCTTGGCCGGCGCCAGTCCGCAGTTCATCCCAGTGGTGCCGTCGACACCTCGGCCGCCTTCACAACCACCTCAACCGCCTCCACCACCTCAACCACCTCAACCGCCGCAACCACCTCAGCCACTGCAGCCGAACACGCAGCGGCCGACGCCGCCGGCCGTCCCCGGCACGCCGAACCCCAGCGCCTGTGCCCAGGTTGCCCAGGAGGCTGATGCCGTCCGCGCTCGCGATCCGGCGGCGGTGCCCACAGTCGCCGCCCAGCTCGCCTTTGACTGCCTCCAGTCGGTGCCCAACAAGCCGGCGCAGGCGCAGCGCCTCATCACGAGTCTACAGGCCTACGTCCAGTGGCAGAGCACCCTCGCCTGGCTCAAGAACCCGCCGGCCACGTACATGCTGCCGCCGGCGGACATCGAAGGTGCCCTCGCCGATATTGGACGCACGGCGGCTGCTGGTGGCTTTGGCAGCGAGTACAACTTTCAGCTGGCCATCCTCGAAACGTTTGCTTCGGCCCACGACGGCCACTTCAACTACCGTGGCGATGTGTTCAAGGGATTCGCTTTTGTCAACGGCCTCGCATCCGACATTATCTCTGTTTCGAGGGACGGCAAGGAGCCGCCGCGTCTTTACCACTCGTCCATGATGCCCAATGGCAGCAGTGGTAATGGGAATGGGAATGGCGGCCGTTTCCCTCCCGCCATTGTCCGCATCAACGGCCGGGATGCCAACGCGGTCATTGAGGAGACGAATCTGCGCTTCAGCGGGTTTCAGGACCAGGACTCGCAGTGGAACTCGATGTTCCCGACCTACGCGAGCCCCGACGCCGGCCTCACACTGTCTGCTTCGCTCGCCTTCCAGGGCCCTTCGTTGACCCTGACCTACGATAACGGCCAGGAGAGGACGGAGCCGAGCTGGGCACTCGTCCGGTCCGCGGCCAACTTGACGGGCATCCGCAACGGCGAGGACTTTTACGAGAGGTTCTGCAACCCAGACTCGCCGACAAGGCCTCGACAGCCGCCTCCGCAACCTCAACAGCCCCAGCCGCCGCAGCAGCCGCCGCAGCAGCCGCCGCAACCGCCGAATACGACCCGCCCTTCTCTGCCCGGCTACCCTGCGCCTGTCGTCCGTGACGGCGGCTCCGACATGACGTCTGGCTACTTCATGCAGGGGCCTGGCCTCGATACGACAGCCGTGCTCGCGGTCTCGTCTTTCGCGCCTGGCGGCTCCAGCGACACGCTCGACTACCTGACTGATTTTCAGACGACCGTAGCGGCGTTTCTCGCCGAGTGCAGCCGGCAGAACAAGGACCGGCTCGTCATTGACCTGTCAGCCAACGGCGGCGGCCTCGTCGTCGCCGGGTTCGAGCTCTTTGCCCAGCTGTTCCCAGACGCGCCGCGGTTCCAGGCGACAAATCTGCGGCTCGCCGACTCGCTCGTTGCCGTTGCCCGCGGCGTCGACGCCTTGCCGCCGCAGCTGCAGCCCGCGGATGCCGACCAGCGCGACGCTCTCGCTCAGCTCGCCACGAGCGCCGTTGTTGGCAATTTTGTGCCGGGCGAGGTCCAGACGCCTACCGGTGATGGCTTCGCCAGCGTCGAGAACCTGCTGGGCCCCGTCTCCCAGAACGGCGACCTCTTCACGGCCTTTCAGCAGACGCCCCTCAACCAGGCAAGCGCAGCCTTCAATCTCACGGGCGTCGGCAACCGGGCGGCACCGCCCCCGGCCGTGTTCCGGCCCGAGAACGTTGTGCTCCTGACCGACGGCACGTGCGGCTCGACCTGCACCCTCTTCGCCTACCTCGCCATCCTCGGCCTCGGCGTCAAGACGGTGGCCATGGGCGGGCGGCCCCTGACGGGACCCATGCAGGCCATCGCCGGCGTCGAGGGCGCGCAGGTCTTCTTCTTCAACGACATGCAGGCCGACGCGGCGTCGGTGCTCGCGCTGTCGCCGCCCGACGTGCGCGCGCGTCTCGAGGGCGGCGAGCTCGGCGAGATTGCCCGCGGCTACGCCATCCTGCGCAGCGCCACGCCCGCGTCGGCCGGCGCCGTCAACGGCAAGAACTCGTTCATGCCCGGCGACGCCAACACGCCGCTGCAGTTCCTGTGGCAGCCCGCCAGCTGCCGCGTCTACTACACGCCCGCCACGCAGCGCGGCGCCGAGGCCGCCTGGACGGTGGCCCGCGCGGGCGACGTGGGAGGACCAGGGCCTCTGCGTCGAGGGCAGCGTCAACAGCGTCACGGCTGGCGGCGGCGGCGCGCGTCGGCGCGGCGTCGACCCGGCGTTTTGGGCCGTCGAGCAAGGGCGTCATGGTTCCGCCGGGTGGTGGCGGCGGCGGCATATTGGCGGCACGGGCGGGGGTGGCGGGCCGGGATCAGCGCCGGGGGGTGGTGCTGACGGGAATGCCGGTGCTTCGCTGGAGGTGCGGTGGGGGGTGTTGCTGTTGGCGTTGCTGGTTGTCGTCTTTGTATAGGCGCCTGGGCTGGGCATAAGTTGCATTGATTGCATGGCAGGGCAGGGCATGGCGAGCGTGGACATGGTTATCCGAGGTAGTTATCCGGTGGTTGGGCTTGATACCCCTGTGATATAATGCAATTGACATCGGTCAGTACATAATGTCGTGCGGAATGCAGGCATGCGTTTATCTTGATGTTTGATCATCTGGCACCAGTCTGAAAAGACTTATAGTTACACCTTCGAAGCCCCCCAACTCTGCCAAGTCTCTGATACCAGTTTGAGTGGCCGTCTACTCTCAATATAGAAGCTCTCGAGCGCAGGAGGAGAAGCCCAGACCGCCTTCCGCGACCTCTCGTTGACAATCCAATCAGCAGTTCTCGCCGCCTGACGACGTTGGACCGAACCAAGACGATGAAAATCACACTGGCGTGTCTATTTGGGTTAGGCTAACGGCCGCAGATAGGGCCAAGCTACCTAAATGCGCTTGTCAGGATCACGCAGAAGCCATGGCCATTCTCATTTGCGTATGCTGTTTTCGTCAGGGTCTTGCCTGCGACGTCGCGAGACTACTGGTCAGATAGCAGCATTGTGGCTGCGCCAGTTGGTACTTGTCAGCCGTAAGGTCAGGGCGCTATTCGAAACAGCATTTGACTTGCAGGCAAGATTTGGTGTGCGAATGGGATCTCCAGTCGGATATCCGTGACTCCCTCCGTGGTCAGGCAGTCTCCGCCGTAGCTTCAGTCTCATGAATCCCCGTCAGATGAACGATGGTCGTGTAATGTGCTACCCCCTCGTGGTTATGTGAACAAGGATGGTCTATGAACTTCTCCGTCTAGTCTTGAAGCTTGTCAGAACAGCCTTCAGACACTCGTCATTATTATATCTCACGGGAAAGACGGTCGGTCACCCACATGAAGCGCCGCTTGGTTCATAGCCCTCGATAGTTGAAATTCCCCTCCGACACTCATCACTATTGCTTGCCTAGTTTCCAGTCCTCTACCCGACGCATCAAAATGCATGTCCCCACTCAGCTGGCCGTCTCACTCCTGGCTGGCCTTGCGACTGCCGACTTTTACTTATGGTCTGGCAGTTGCTCCACCTCCTCCGGCCTCAAGTTCCCTCTCTCTGTCGCCTCGAATAGCGGTCCCTGCAGCGGTACCGTCTGGAAAGGCGACTGGGGCAGCAACATCATGAACACGACCGATCCCTGCAACAAGAACGCCGAGTACTGGTACAAACGAACCGGCAGCGGTACCTACGACCTGTTTCGAGACCTCGCAGGAACCAGAAAGGTCGGCAACTGCAAAGATGGCGGCAGAGTGGTCCAAACTTGCGGCCTGACGCCCATTGTGTGCTCCATGGGTCGTATTGGACATTGCAAGACGCCGACCTGCAACATGAAGAACTGAGGCATTGAACATCTTCATGGTCTCGGGTCCGACAGCTTTGCCTGACGAGAGAGGGATGGACTTGCTACGTGAACTAAAGATACTGTCAAGATTCAATGTTGCGGTCTGAATCCCTTGTTTTGATAAGAAGTTGGTATTGTTCCGAGGGAAAGGGGTTATGATCGATAGCTAGCTTGACGTGCTAATGGAATTAATATCGCATGACATCTTTTTTAGTGACACGTGTTACTCAGCTAACTCCTGCCAATGAAGACATGACGTGCACAAAACTGTATCAAAATGAAAACCGAAAGTGTTCGACAAATATCTTTAGACCCAAGGACATCCTCATCAGCCCGGGCTAGCAGCATTTCTGACGTTCGGGATGTCTTACCCTGTCATTGTAGTATCTGGTATCTGGGTGGGGGGTTGGGGGGGGGGTTGGGGGGGGGGTTGGGGGGTTGATGTGTAATTTTTGACCTTGACTGGTGCTGAAACAACGCAGCTAGCTGACAGCCTTGGAGGATAGAAGCTCGGCTGCTGTGTTGAAGGACTATTCTTGGGAAGGAAATGCTCTACACTTTACTTTACAAGCTAGCAAGACTGGTCCACAGTTGGAACTAACAAATGAATTATTGCAGGTTATACTGGGACACGTGAAGCAACATCACCCCATCGCATGTGATTGGGTAGCGTCAGTTGCTTGTGCGAGGCAGGGTTTGGTTGTGTGTTGTCAGACAGGACAGATTCTATTCGATGCATTTTGCTGACGGCATGGGTATCTAAAATCAACTGTTTCCGACCACAAGCACCAGAGATTCCCATATCCATTCGAATTCAGGTATACATTCGCTCCGGCATCCGGAAAGGATGTGCTTCTGTGCTCAAAACGTATTCATCCAGGCTGATCAAATCAGGTGGTGAAAAAACGAGATAAAAGTATTTGAGCGTCTCGGCAAGCCAGAAGCTCTATGAGAAGGTCAGTCACCAATCAATCGACAGGACCTCCAATTGAAGCGGGCTCATGACTTACCTCCATGTAATCTTCCTTTGGCAGCTCCTCTGTCGCCAAGGTGACATCTTTGACAGACGCATGGCCGTACTGCGCCGCCGTTCCCCTGGTGACGGCTTTGAACATGGTCCAGGCGATGTCCTGCCACGCTGGGTCACCGGTGATGCGATAGTTGATGAATACGCTTTCTATAGCCTCGGGTCGCAATAGGTATCTGGGATCCTTCGCTGTGGTGAAGCCCTTAGGCAAATGCGGCTTGTATTCGTGCCGCTTGTCGCATTCACGGACGTAGAGGGCCTCGTCCCACTTGCACACATCTGCCCTGGCTGGCGAGCAAGGGACCATGTTGTAACGTTCTGGCATCATGCCAGATGGAAAGGCGTTGTAAGCGTAGGCGCATCCGTGGGCCAACTTCTTCCCTGTTTCGACCTCCTCGGGCTTGTTGAATATCCGCCCGGCCAGAGAGACGGTACCGCCGATGAAGCACGTCAGGTGCTCGCTCTCGGGGTCGAAAACGACCTTGCCCTCTTCGCTGACCTTAACATTGCCAGATATGAGGATATCGGCTTCGTCGGGAAGCATGGGTCGGAAAAACATGACTTCATTCGCTGTCTTGAGAAAGTCCTTTGTCATGGTCTCGTACATGGGGCTTGAGCCACCAAGGAGAGCGTACATCTTCGGAAGGTACTCGAACAACGAGTCAGCGCTACCTCCAATGGTGAACTCTCTTCTCGCGCTGACGTTTTTGTCTCTCATGGACACCCAGATGGGCCACAGACCAGGTAGGTGAGTCTTTGACTGCTGGTCTCGGAATACCTCCATGACGCCCGTCACAGCATCGTAGTACTTCATGTCGCCAGTGACCTGAGACAGCCGCGTCATTTCAAGCGATAGAGTCCCAGGCGAAGCCGACACAACCCAGGCCTCGACGGTAAGCCCTTGACCGGTCTTGGCTTGATTGAAGCTGATGAAATCGACGGGCATGCGGTTTGGTGTATTGAAGGCGCCGTAAAGAAGATCACCAATTTCAGTGGCCTTGGTGAGAAGTACGTCACGTTTGCTGAGGTCATAGGCGGCCAGCAGGCCGCCAAGGTAACGAATTGTAGATTCAAACATGTTGACTCGGGATGTGGAGGATTGTCCGAAGTCAATCTTGGCGACGGCCTCGACGGCCTCGTCAAATTCAGCTCGGAGCCCCATGATCCATAGCGTGTCGAGAGAATCGACAAGAGTCGCTGCCCAGCCCGAAAATTGGTCTTTTGCGGTGCCAGAAATAGGATTGACAGCATCCTTCATCCATGCGTGTGCACGGTAGTGCTGCCAGTCCTTCTCAAAAACGTCGCGCACAGCTTGGCGCCGGCTCCGTTGTTTCTCGACTTCCGCCTTAGACTGCGGGCTAAAAGAATACTGGATCTTGGGAAATGACGGGCTTCTATGCCGGGGCAGAGCAGTGTTACTGCCGGGCGGCTTTGGGGGTTGAGGGTACGCAAGGTCAATCTTGCCCCAATCAATGCTGCTTTTGATTACATCAACAACGGGGGGGTCGTCATTCATGTAGTGACTGAGACGGACGGATTGTGTGTCTTTATTTGAGGGTTCGAGGAATAAAACGTAGAAGAGAATGAGGACTACAGCAAACCCCAAGAGGAGCTGCCGCGTCTGCCGACTTTTGCGACGTAGAGGTATCATTAGGGTCTTGTGGAACGACACGTTGTTGTCGTGGTAGGAACGTCGTGGGCGGCTTGAAAGAGAGCAATGGCCCTGAATTGGGGCTCTCCTTGTTTTTATGAGGAGCTTGGTGCTTGTTCGTTGGCTTGTGCTCACGCTCGCTCATGCTCGCCTCTCTGTAGACGTTGGCCCGTATGGGGCATGGACAGGTTTCTTTTGCAGGGGTTCATGGGCCACCACCAAGCTTGCCAAGCCAGGAAGGTCACAGGCGGCACGACAAGCGTGCGGCCGGGAATCGGATGATTCCAAGCGAGGAGTCTCCAACGGCAGATCCAGTTTTTTCGTATGTAACATGGACAAACAAAGTAGTTATCGACGATGCTTTGTACCCTTCGTCGGTAGTGGGCTTGTGCGCCAGTTGTTGTGTGAATAAGATTTCGGCCCTACAGATAAGGTTGTGCTAGGACAGATGACACGCTGATGGTGCTTCTGGAGCTGCGCTACGAATGCCTCCCTCGGCTACGTAGCGGCTGGATGCTGGCATCAGGCAACCTCCTTGCCCATTTGTTACGGGGTGAAGCAAGTTTGACGTCTGGAAACTACCATGCGCCCCCCAACGCCGCGCTATGAGCGGGCCGTAGTCTGGGGCCAAGTGCCCTGATGGGGGCCCATTTACTGACCAGCCACCCTGTCGTTACATTCAGCGGCAAAGTGTGGTTCCAAATTGGGGGCGGCCGGGCGGCCAGGCAAGGGGATGAGCATGCAAAGAAGATAGCCTTGCGCCGGGCCACCGCCGTGTTCACGCGCATTACCTACTCTCTATGCCGCGTCGGTTTGACTAGCATCTGATATATGGGGCTCCTGAGGTGATTCTGCGAGTTTGTGGCGTGGCACTGAACCCTCGCAATTGTTACAGCTGGAACAGTAGACATCAACTTAGTGACTGATGAGTATTGCCGATAAGAACATGTTTCTTCAAGCAATACGCTCAGTGCGAGATGGTTAGGGAACTAGGTATGTACAGTATTCATTCACATGATCTCGTTAAAATGACATCAATAATCATGACAGCCATAACTTTACCGATCAACCCCCTAAAACTCCTTGGGGCCAGCGTGTATTTTCGCCTTACTGCGTGACGGGACCTAGCCCGAACGCACGTTCACATCGTAGTTCCAATTTCCCTTAGAATACATGGAACGAACAGCGGCTTCAACAACATCGACAAACCGAGCCTCTTCAATAACAATGTCCTGGGTGTGCCAGTTGTCACGCTTCTCCAGGTGTCCTCCGTCCTTGACCTCCCTGAAGCCATCGTCAACGTGCCGCCTCCCGGGGTCGTTCACGGGATTCACAGCCTGGGCATGTACGTGGAAATAGCCGAGGCCACGCATAGCAGCCACGTTCCGGAACCCAGCATGTGTCATGGTCCCCGGCTGGATCTCAACAATGGCGCCAACTTTCTCGCGCATGAACATGACGTGCGTCAGGCCAGCGCCGTGCACGCCCACGAGAACGTCCGTCTCTCGGACTGTCCGCAATTGCTCGGCAAAAGTCAGAGCCGCAAAATCGACACTTTGAACGCGGATATGCGGCACACGCTCGCGGAGAGCGGCAAGCATGGGTTCGTGGCCAACGATGCGGCGCGTTTCACGTCGGTCTACGTAGGTCACGACAATAGGGTCATCACGCTTGCGGGGCGGAGGGTCGGGGATCTCGTAGAAGCCCAACACGCGGCGCGCGAAAACGGAAAGGGTCGGCGCCGAGGAGCACTGCTGGACGTCGGCGTCGTCTTGCCACAGCGGATTACTGCCACCTGCGAGAGGGATGATGATGTTGGCGTCTCGGGCGGCGTCCACGGCCGCAGGGTCGGCCAGGAGCTCCTTCATGCGAAGTGGCCTGCGATTGGCGGCAAAGAGGGTCCATAGGTCAAAGTACGGACCGTCCTCGCGCTCGTCGAGAATCACAACCTGGGTGTCGTTGACGTCTTCCGGTGCCCGAAAAAAGAGTTTGTTCTCTTGGTCGCGTGACATTCGGAGCACATCTATGGCCATGTACGAAGAGTAGATCTCCATCAGGCAGTGCCAAGGATTCGTCTCGCCCTCTCGCTTGAGGAGCAGGAAGTTTTTGGGCGGCGGTCTTTTTGGATATGCCAATGCCGATGGCGTGCTGCCGGACTGTGGTGTGACACTCGGGGAAGGTTCTTCGGCCACTGCGTCGCCCGGTGGAGGCGCATCGTCTTGTCGCTTGGCGGTGGCCTTTTCGTCTTCTTTCGCGGGTGGAGGCACATATTTGTTGAGGTCAACGGCACGAGAGAGGATCTGCGCCGGCCCCGTCTCGTACCAGTATCCCCTGATCTTGTTGAAAGGTATCAATCCCGCGTCTGTTTCCTCCTTTGCAAGGGTACGCAACGGACAATCCAGGTGAAATTTCTTGGTAGCCTCCTGAAGGTCTGCACCGTGGCCGATACACAGTGAGTCGACCTGATGATCCGGTCGGGAGTGGCTGTGGAAGCAAGTGAAGGTTGACAGCGCCTCCGACGCGCAATATGGTGCTTCGCTGGAGGTGCGGTGGGGGGTGTTGCTGTTGGCGTTGCTGCTTGTCGTCTTTGTATAGGCGCCTGGGCTGGGCAGAAGTTGCATTGATTGCATGGCAGGGCATGGCGAGCGTGGACATGGTCATCTAGTTATCTGATGGTTGGGCTTGATACCCCTTTGAGTTAATGATTGATCCGGCAGTGAAGGTCTCGGCATGTGATGCCTGGTGATGATGGAGCGAAGTAACCATGGAAGCAAAGCCGCGGACCATTGAATGTGCTTGAGCATAGGTCGTGTGACATGGGACTTGGAGGTGAGATTTATATATATACTTCACCATGTCACTAGGCACAACTCATGGCCTTGCCAGGCACATATGCCTGGAGACCTTGCAAGCCTTGGTAGCACCACCCGTTCTCCTGTCGTTCGTAGCAAACACACGATGTCACACCAATCCACCTTCCAGCGGCATTCACTCACATCACCAATCGCCTGCCACCAACCACCAACACGCGCCGTGCCCTGTCGATCAGGCCCTTGGCCAGCGGCATACATGTACATGCACCTCGCCGAAGCGCCCGAGAACCCCCTGCTCGATACTCCAGGGGCCGTGCCGCCACCAAGCACCAACCGACTCAGGGACCCTGCACCAACAACAGTGGAAGCTGGGGCCGAAAGTCTTGGCTCGTCACATGAAAAAGGAACACGATACCCCCGATGTTCAGCTCGCGGCGATGGATACATACACCCGTGATACTGCTTTGGAATGTGCGGCGTCACCATGTTGGCATCAAGACGCAGCACCCGTCAGGCGCGGCAAGTTGTCTTGGCGGTCAGTGTTTTTGTCCTCATCTACCTCTTCCTCCTACGCAGCAGCCCCTCGGTCGATCATGAGGCGGCCTTCCTGCGGCATCACATGAACGCCGACCCGCCAGAGCACACTCTCGTCGAGAGCTCCTTCGACTGGTCCTCGGTCAAGTTCGCCCATGTGCCGCCACCCCTCGACCCGCCGGCGCCGCCGCTGCAGACGCGCCGCTCGCCCAAGATGCCGCGCATCCAGCACGTCTTCACCGACGACGACGACGAGGAGACGCAGGCCGCCGCCATGCTGCGCGAGAGCCGGCGGCGCAAGGTCCGTGACGTCTTGGCGCGCGACTGGCAGAGCTACCGCGCGCACGCCTGGCTCCAGCCGAGTTGCAACGCGGCGCTGCTGGACACGGCGTGGGCCATGTTTGAGACTGTCGCTAACGGGACGGCTGCCGGGTTTGGTCACGGGGCTGTCAAGGAAGTTACGGTGCCGCAGGACGAGCTTGTGCGGGAGGATTACATGGAGGTGAGTCCCCTAGACTGGCATGCAAACGTGTGGACAAGTGAGCTGACGATGACAACAGGGCTTTTGGCTGGCTGAGACGCTCAAGTACTTCTACCTTGTCTTGTCGCCGCCGGATGTTATCAGCTTGGATGAGTTTGTGCTCAACACTGAGGCCCACCCTTTGCGGATGCCGAGCTGAAGCTTGGCTCGATTTGGCTTTGACCTGACTTTACACATTACATCTGAACGACGGCTGCTGTAGTGGGGATCTGAGGGTGAATTCTGCGCCGTGATCCGGAGCTACGGGTGGAGACGAATGCGGGATCACTCGGCCCGCTGTCCGCCCGCTGATGCAGCGGACGCTGAGGATCGACGTGGGCAGCCTTGGATCTTGGAACGAGTCTCGGTCACTGTGGAGAGCTTTGTCCGCGGGGGAGAGCTTTGTCCAGGATACAAACCTCGCATTGAGGGGGAGGATCAAAACCTTGGGTGTCCTGGAGAAAAAAAGGACACCATACGTTCTTCGGTATCAGAACGTTGCCATCTCAAGATGAATACCTGGTGCCAAGTACCACATTGTACTGCCGACCTATCATACTTCTGACATAAATGATCAATTACAAGGCAGTTCCACAAATGGCACTGGTTGCCACACAAGCACTGCACAGCAGCACTGGTTTCGTCATAGGATGCGAGTCGTTCTCGCACGAAGGGTTTTAATTTTCTAGTATCTCTTATGACTGACTTATCTTCACCGTTCTATTGCGACGCCAATGTGGCAGCGCGCAGTTTTCGTCAGTATGAACTGGTCCAGGCACCGTCTCGTTCCATACCTGCCCAGCATATAGCTTCGGCCCCGGCAGAGGCCATGCTGTTTCAACTGCAACGAGTATGCGTACAACTGCTCGTCTTGCCTACTGTACAACTCCTGAGCGCTGACACCTCGTCCAGCGAGGGTGTCGCGCCCATTTCCCAAAACTTCAACGTTGCCACACTGTGGGTAGAACTCGGGCTCGCCAAGATGCGATCGATGCAGCGCAATAATCTCCGAGCGCACGACGTAGTTGCCCGGTGCGATGTCTCGTGGCACCGTCGCTTCAATGACGCCGCCGTTGGCGCGTAGCACGTCCGACGCCCAGAGGCCGTCTGCGTTGGCCGGGCCCGAGACGAGGCCGCTTTCCTGGATCTTGGTCCACCGCAGCGTGCTTTTGTCGACCTCGGCGCAGCTTCCGTGGCAGGGGGCCAGGTACGTCGGCGTCGGGCCCGAGTGCGCCCACCCTTCGGGGCTGAGGACGGGGTCGGCTGATGTCCAATGGATGAGCATGGTAGACCCTGCGGTGACGGTGCCGGGGTTCGCGGCAGGGGTGGCGCCGCGGCGGCAGATCATGTCCGGGCTTGCGGGATCGAGCTCTGGCCCTTCGTCTGGCGTCGTGAAGGGCCAGCCGATCGCCGAGGGGGAGGGGGACGGGTTCCAGTTGCGGAAGCCCTCGTGGTCTGTGCCGTCGAGGGTGAAGGTCTTGATGTAGCCGTGGGCCGCAGCCTGGCTGGTGAGGAGGAGAAGGAGGGCGATTCGGATCATGTTGAATCTTCTTCAAGGAGAAACGATGTTGTTCGTGTTAGTCAAGGTGAATGGATGCATGCGATTGTGGTTGTAAGTGACGGGGTGGGAAACCATCGTGGCCACGGCACATATACCCAGACTAAACTTTGCCCACAATTGTGTTGTATCTGAGCATCATTCGTGATATGAGGGATAATAGCCGTGTTCGATAACGTATACACTTGGCCGATGCATCCTCTGTCCTTGCGCGTTGTTCGCGACTTTCACAAGAATAATAGGGTTGTGCCTGAGGAAGGGCCACAACTCGAACAATAATCCTGTATTCACCCATTTCTTTGCCCACGAATGAGAAAGTCCATTGTTGAGAACCCAACAGTGGATGAATTATACAGCAGTTCTGACGGCATGCAGTCTACCACTGAATCATGGCTGGTACACTGGCCATCACGCAGTACCCGAGCTCAGGGTTCGCTAAGCCTTCTCACATCAGCGTCCTCGAGACCTGAATGACCGAGGATTGCGCATTCAAGGGCATGTACCAAGCTGCAGGTTATTGTAAAGTTGGAGATATGACTACGGCTCTGTTCATGGTCTTGTCGTCGGACAGGACATGTTCATCTCAGCAATATTTCTCTTGCTCATGATGAGGTGATCAGCGTGCTCGTGGGGTCAGTCCGAGTTGTGAGAACGAACAGGTTAACATCGTCTGCTTAGTATGATCGATCGCAGCATGCATGTTCCTGTCGGGCGTCTGCCAGGCATGACTTTGACGCACCGACCACACAATTGGTTGCTCGTTGAGTGAAGGATTTCTGCCCAATGTCAAGGACTCATGCCATTCCTCATACAATAAGACAGCCACCGTCCGATGCCTTGTATCCAGCCTTCAGGCTGCCCATTGCCTTCTGCTCACACCAGAAACTCCGCAGTCTCATCATGGCAAGAAAGGTCACGACCTGCTCCCTGCTGCAAATGTCGTGACGTTGCGATGCCACGGGGAACGGTACTAAAGTACCTTAGACTACAGTGCCGGATTGAGCTGCACGCACCCCCCCCCCCCCCGGATAGGGATGTTATACCCTGCACTTCTGTGGCGCAGTGGTGGTCGGAGGTGCCAGGAATAGCTTCATCAGCTGAACACTTGCAAGTCAACCCCCACTCTTCTTCAGCAGATCGAATCTCAAAAGGAAAGCCCTGTACCGTCCCGGCCGCCAGTCCCGTCCCTGGTGTTGTGTGTCGTGCGGGTAGGTCGGTAGATGGTGATAGTAGCGCGCGGCCCCCAAGGGCCAAGCGACCAGGCTGTGAGCGCCAAATGAGGCTTCATGATTCGCCGACAGAGCCAACCGCATAACACGAAACAAGTTCGAAGGCAAGTCTCCATCTCTCCCTGAATCTAGACTGCAGGGTCGCTGTGATGAAGTGGGCGCAGGTCATTCGAGGTCGTTCCGATCCGTCCTGGTAAATGTATGCCGATCCTCTTATGGCATCCAAAGACGAGACGCGGAGCAAAACAATCCTTTTTATCATTCATTCCATGCAATAATCCTTTCATTTGTCGTTGAGCTTCGAGAGGTCTGCGCCATGTACTCGCCCATCTCTGGCGCTGAATCCAACGAATATGAGCTCCGGGCACCGGGGGACGTACCAAGGCAGGTGGTTTCGGCGCCGAAGCAAGCTGGACTGCTGGCAAAGTGGTCCGTCTTTGGCGCTTTGCTGATCACAACGACACTGAGTTCTGTTCTTGTCGTCGCCCACGTCCAGAGCTGGCTCATCAACGATACTTGGTACCAGTTCTGGTTCCTTTCAATTCGAATCAACAGAGCCGCCCTGCAGTCTGGTATCCAGATCATCGCCGTCCTCCTTGGTCTCATCCATGCCTCGGCCGTGGCGTACCTCGTTCAGTATGGCGTCAGTCTAGCCTTCTTCAGCGGCACGAGCTTCACGACGCACAGCCTGCGGGCCATGATCAACACGAGTACGCAAACAGTCAACTGGAAGGGTCCTCCGCGCTACATGCTTCCTGTTCTCGGCATGTCTGTTCTCAGCCTCATCTCTTCGGCGCTCTGGGTCGGCGCCATCACTCCCGTGGAAAGCAGTACCATTGTCAAACAGACCGTGCCTCATCCCTTCCTACGACAACATCACCC